GATAAATCATTTACGCATATGGATACATGCTCCAGCTGTTGTCCATGAAATAAGGACAGAGTGAGCTTTTTGATAGTACAGATTATTGGTTTGCCCTTTTGAAAATTAACATTTTGCCACTCATAGCCAACACTGATATGACGTCAACAACTAATAGTATGTATAGAAACAACCAAGGGATGCCGAAGATCATGTCACAACAATAATTCAGGAAAAATTTAGGGTGCCAAAGATCACGTCACAACAATCCTAATAATTCACGACAAGTTTAGGAGATCACGTCTCACTAGGAACCAAAGTTCTTGTTAGAAGATAAAAAAAAAATAAGGGTTCTCAGCTTGTCATTTATCAATCATGTGAACATAAATGAATACGCAGTGCTGGACTAAAACTACATAAAGATGCAACTTGAAGATATTTAACAAAGGGCTGGAAATGAACCGAATACAAGGATGCTCATATTTGTATTTATTTAAAATTTCCGTATTCGAATATTCATTTCTAGAGTTTTTCAAATTCGAACTCGCATACCCTGTATTTGATAAATATTCGCCAATAGTTATCGAATATTAAAGTATATCCTTTTTACTAAAGAATTTGATTTTCAAATAGTACTTAAATTTATAATTAAAAGTTATTCCTTTATAATTATGATGTATCTATATCTAATTAGAATGTTTTGTTAAAAATTGATCTAATAATCTTTAAATCTCTCAAAATTAGTATGTAGAACTTAAATAGAAAATGTAAGTGGGCTGAAAACATAAAAGCATGTACGTAATGGTAAAATTTATAAACTAAATGAATATGTGATAAGCAAATGAACCAAATATACATCTGATTAAATTCTATTCGTTCATGAGCTCAAATACTAAAAACTATTTGTTTTAGTGTTAAATGAACTACTGAATCGAATAGGGCCAATAATTTCCTGAACAATTGACGAAGTATTTGTTCATTATTTGGTTCATTTCCGCACCTATTGTTCACATATTTAGACATGCACAAAGAAACCAATCTGCAGCTTTTGTTCACAAGAGCAGCACATTTCACAACTCACATCTAACAGTTCCACCATTGAAAGATTGGAAACTATTCACGTAAGAGACATATCTATCAAGTCGTGCACATGAATCACAAAGCAAAGCATTCAGCTCCTTTCAATTGCAAATACCTTCTATGTATCAATACATGACTCAACAAGAACGTCAGGAAATCAACATAATCTCCGAACTCAAATTTTAGAACAACATACTTCATCATATGTCAATGTTAAGTAATCTCTAAACGCAAAAATCGAGAGATCATCTTTTCTTGAAACCATATTTCTTGCGCTCATAGAAGAGATCAGTTTTGGCACTGCCGAGGTTGACAATCTTGGGGCATCCATCGCGATCTTTCTCCTGCTGTGTGCACTCCTTACAATAGTAGGCATCAGAGATGCCGACACCACCACAGATCACACACCGACCCTGGAAAGATCCATAGTTGCATTCGTCACACACCCTCACCAGAGTGCAGGGCCGCACGTAAGAGTCACAAATTACGCACTTGCCGTCACACTTTTCGCACAGTCGTCCAATAGCTATCCCTGGCTGCTTCCTGCACATTATCAGATCAGGATGGTGCTTTGCCATGATTCTCCTTCAGGAGATGGTCTATCAGCTAAGCCTGCATGAAAAGGAAAAAAAACTTATTACATAAAGAAGAACTCTGTTAAAATATCAAATACTCATTATCTAGTATAAGATATTCCTTAGACGAAAAAGGGGTCAAGTGTTGAAGAGCATCAATTATGGTCAGCACAAAATTATTCGAAGACGACTTCAACTCCTCAATTATTTATATCTAAAATTTTCATCTTAAATAACCTAAAATTGAGTCTTCGCATTCTTTCTAGTTTCTTATAAAAAGAATTAAAAAAACGAAACAGACGTGTAATCATTCTTTTCAGCCATCAGTATACTGTATATACCCTTTGCCCCCTATTTGAAGGACCACAGGTAACATACATGCACCTCTCTATCGATCTAATATAATTAAATGAAAAATCTATAGGAAATCCAATACAGTTAGTATAACCACCTTCAAGTGAAAAGGTTTCTTGTTTTATATCACTGAAGATTATTTCCGCTCAGTGTTCTATATGTTAGATGTCAGGGACATGTCAAACGGAAAATTTTCAAATCAGCTTGCAGATATTGGATATAAACTGGAAATATTTAATAAGTTCGGGTCATATAATATGTGTATAAGCATAATTACTTGATTCATTAAAGAATAGGGCTGTGGCAGAAGATGATAGCACTTTTTCATGTTTAAAGCCTAAAATTGTTAAAAAGCCACTAATATTTCCAAGTGTATACTGATAGGACTAAACTAAACCTATTTTGTATATAACTCAAGTTATGCCTTTTCAATATCTTCTGCACCAAAGCTTACATAGCGTCAACGATGAAAATGAGGGACAGAGCGGTCGATGATGAATGTATGATTGGGACGATGCTGCAACATAGTCCACCATGAGGCATATGATCAAGAATGGAAAAAGCCACAAAACCCTCACAAAAGTGTTCGGTCTTAATTGAGCCTTTTTCTTCTTCCTGTATATATAAAAGCTGGTATGTGTTTGGATTTATACCTCAATTGAGCCATAAGTAAAAACCTGATATCAGCCATTGTCACATGATATATTGGGGAATCCTAATACATCACCAAAATAATGCCAAAAAGTAGTAAATGATATTAAAACTGTATCATTTTGTGGTAAACCCTTATAAAAGGACATTCTGGCCGATATGAGCCATTGTCAAACAATACTTAAAAATTAAAAAAATGGTTACACTTTTGTAGTTTCAAGAACTTCCAAATTCCAAAAACTCTCCTATTGGTATACATCTTCAGTTCCAAATTTTTAGAATTCTTCTACAACATTTATCCTTCACATTTATTAAAGAAATATCATACTAGCCTAAAAAGTGACACTCATTTACCAATTTCACCTATAAAGTGATGTCGGTGATAGTTTGGCCTAAAAAGTGACAAATATGATGATGAATAGGCATTTCCGGTGTCGGAGATAGTTTTTAGGCCAAAAAGTGATGTCGGTGACAGTTTGGCCTAAAAAGTGACAAATATGGTGATGAATAGGCATTTCCGGTGTCAGAGATAGTTTTTAAGTGAAATTTTAAGTTTCAAACAGTTTGGCCTAAAAACTATCTCCGACACCGGAAATGCCTATTTATCATCATACTTGCCACTTTTTAGGCTAAACTGTCATCGGCATCACTTTGTAGGCGAAACTGGTAAATGGGTGTCACTTTTTAGGCTAATCTGGTATTTCTTTAATAAAGGTGAAGGATAAATGTTGTAGAAGAATTCTGAAAATTTGGAACTGTTTGGAATTTGGAAGTTCTTGAAACTACAAAAGTGTAACCATTTTTTTAATTTTTAAGTATTGTTTGACAATGGCTCATATCGGGCAGAATGTCCTTTTATAAGGTTTACCACAAAATGATACCGTTTGAATATCATTTACTACTTTTTGGCATTATTTTGATGATGTATTAGGATTCCCCAATATATCATGTGACAATGGCTGATATTAGGTTTTTACTTATGGCTCAATTGAGGTCTAAATCCAAACACATACCAGCTTTTATATATACAGGAAGAAGAATAAGGCTCAATTAAGACTGAACACTTTTGTGAGGGTTTTGTGGCTTTTTCCATTCTTGATCATATGCCTCATGGTGGACTATGTTGCAGCATCGTCCCAATCATACATTCATCATCGAGCAGTCTGTCCCTCATTTTCATCGTTGACGCTATGTAAGCTTTGGTGCAGAAGATATTGAAAAGGCATAACTTGGAGTTATATACAAAATAGGTTTAGTTTAGTCCTATCAGTATACACTTGGAAATATTAGTGACTTTTTATCAATTTTAGGCTTTAAACATGAAAAAGTGCTATCGTCTTCTGCCACAGCCCTATTATTTAATGAATCAAGTAATTATGCTTATACACATATTATATGACCCGAACTTATTAAATATTTCCAGTTTATATCCAATATCTGCAAGCTGATTTGAAAATTTTCCGTTTGACATGTCCCTGACATCTAAAATATAGAACACTGAGCGTAAATAATCTTCAGTGATATAAAACAAGAAACCATTAGAGGAAATATTATGTCTATGCCTAAAAACACATTATATAGCATTAAAAGTGGCTCTCTGAGAGAAAGGGAAAAAAAGACTATCACCAAAGTAGCTAAAATAAATAGGGAAAGTACTATTGCAATTCAACATAAGAGCAAGATGATGTTGCAAAGTACCATATTTTCTGCTTGTCGTGAATGGTGAATTTCACTGTGCAAATATGTATGTAAACATGCAGTGAAACGTTGCTACTAGTGAACTTCTTGCATTAGTATCAGTATACAGAAGATAATAAATATACATAAAAAGCAAAGTATATCTACTTTGAAGATGATACATTAGTATCAGTATACAGAAGATAATAAATATACATAAAAAGCAAAGTATATCTACTTTGAAGATGATAATATTTCACTATTCATGTTCTTGAGCAAAGTATATCTACTTTGAAGATGATAATATTTCACTATTCATGTTCTTGATATGATGTCAATTTTTTTTCCATTATACTTGAGAATTTGGAAATCCAAAACCATGTAAGAGAACACAATTTATTTGTAAGTTGGTGTTTTATACTCCACATCAAATAACCAAATGGCTAAGATCAGGTCATCGAGCCTGGGAGTATTCATTTGTATCAAGTGCTCAGGTGTTCATAGAAGTCTTGGAGTTCATATATCAAAGGTATTCACTAAACAGTAACCTTTTTGTTTTTCAATTAGCAATTACATTGATTACTTACCAACTGTGCTGACTATCTGAATTGGAAATTTTTAGCCTATTCTAGGATTTCCATTTATCCCACTTCTCATCAAAACCGAATTAGCTAAGAATCCATCAAAATCACCACACCCTAATACATATCCATAATGAAATCATCAAAAAATTAGAAATTTTTGGTAAAATAATTTTCTGATGACATAAACCACCATAAATGGGGGGTCACGTCGACAGTACTAGCTCTGATCTAGGGTTTTAGCCGCGACGATCACGGCCAAAACCCTAGCTCAGATCTAGGGTTTCAAATGGAGGGGAAGAGAGAGGAGAGAGTAGAGAGAGAGAGAGAGAGGAAGAGAGTAGAGGAGAGGAGGACGAGACTACCTGCGATGGATAGAGATCGAGATTTTGAGGAGTTGGGACTTCGACACGAGCGTGAGAGAGGAAAAAAAGAGGAGTCGGGGTTTTAAGCGGGTGGGGATTCGACAAATACCTTAAAACGGTGAGGCATCCCAGGCTTTTTGCGTCCTTCTGCCCTGGGATAGTTGGGCCGGGCCTGGTAATTGCCGCTTCGATCAAGCGTTAAGCTACTAATTATAGCTTCGGTCGAGAAAGGTATGGGCCTATGGGTCTAGGGTTCGTAGTAGAATCGGTTCTTACAGCGCCCGGAATTGGACAAATAGCTTGTGCACGCGAACAGGAGGGAGTCAAAATAGTTAGGCTCTGTTTGGCAAAACTAGCTGAAAGCTGTTAAGCTAGCTGAAAGTTGTGAAATTATAGTTGAAAGCTGTTAAGCTAGCTGAAAGCTGTGAAATTATAGCTGAACGCTGATAGCTGCGTAGCTAGCTGATTGACTAGAGCTGTTTGGCAAAAGTAGCTGTACAACTAGCTTAAATTTGTTAAATGACTAAAAAAGACATGCAATATTATTGATATAAAATTAGAATTATTAGGGGCAAAAACGAAAGAAAAAATTTGGCAGCTCCTTTTCAAAGACAAACGCTACTTGAGGTAGCTTTCCAAAAGCTACTTGCAAAAGACACAATCTTTAAAATAATCTCATTCTATTTTTTGTCACCAAACAGCTCTACTAGCTTATTGACCAAGTCAATAAGACACAATCTCTTATTGCCAAACAATACCTTAGTTGCCAAACAGTATCTTTAGCCCTCTTTTTCTTTTCTCGAATCAACCGTAGAGCTAGGATTGGAAAGGGGGGGAATTAGGCTACTGGTAGGTGGTAGGATAGACTCTTTGCGCCTTAGAGCTTGCCGAATTATTGCGAACGCGTGGTCATAAGACCGGTCGAGGAAAGGATCTCGGATATGGACACGGGTAGGGAGATCGAAACACACTTTACGTCACTAAACGTGCTAAAGGGAATATGGGCTCTCGCACAACGCGAGTTCCACGACTCTTACTTTACTTTAAATATAAAGGCAGGAGTAACTCTCGTGGTGAAATTTGAAATCCATAGTTTTGGGCTTTCCAAATTCACTCTATAAAATGACTTGATTTAAAATCATGGTCCAAAGTTGAGCCCAAACATGATATTTGGATTTGAAATGTCCAGAATTTCAAATCCAAGCCCAAATCAGCATTCCCAACCACAGCCCCATGAGAAATATTGGTTCTGAGTAAATACACTGATTTAGTAAAAAATGCATAATTCTCCTATCCTGTTGTTTTACATTCCAAATGTAAAAGAGCTTCCATTGTACGTCTAACCCCGTGCTTCCAGTTCTGAGTATGCGCAGGAGCCAGAATCAGGTTTCAATTACAACACAAGTCACCTCCTCCTAAATGCAATACAATAAATAATAAAAAGAATCACTGGTTTCCTTCAAACTTGGAAAAATTTTCAAAATACAGAACAAGATTCGAAAGACATGTTCGCTCTTGATTACAAACGTCTTCAAAACATAAGAGTGAATCATTCCCAAATCATGTATGAACTTTATATGTCGCAACCATACATTATTTTTGTGTTTTATTGATGAATATGTGATTTGGAGCTGAAGAATACTATCAGCCTCCGGTATCATATGTATAAAAGTCAAATCCACATGATTTATAACGCTCACGAGTAGAGTCAATATAGAAATTGCTTATTCAAGTAATGAAAGATAAAAAAAATAAAAAGCCTTGTGTAGAGCACCAATTCTGAGATCTACACAATGTGGTTACCAAACAAATCAGGTATGAGAATTCCTTTTTTCCCTTCTCTTGTATTTTTGTGCGGAGTTTCTCAACCTACCGAAGAAACTTTTGGGAGTTCAATTGCACTTTCTATGGTACTAACCAGATCTCCTCAAGTAAGCCATAACGCCAAGCCCAGCAACAAGTGCGGCTCCAGCAGCGACGCTGCTGTATGCAGAGGCCCATGTATCTTTGTGAGCATAGTCGAGACCCGAACCACTTTTCTTCTTCCGACCACTGCCTGAATTTGGATACTCTAGATGCAGTCTTAAGCCCTGAAGACAAGAATTAAAAAAAAAGTGATTAAAATAGAACCGAGAATCTATACACACTGAATACTTGATTTAAATGTAAGGCTATGATTAGATCCCATGAGCATGGTCATTACGCGAATCAAATATGGGTGAATTTGCTCAATTCTTTTTCTTTCTTTTCTAGCACTTTTCCTTTCATAGTAAGCATTTATTCTTTATGCTGCTTGTGTGCGTGGTGTGTGTTTGTGTGAGATATGAAGACAGGCTGTTAGAGGAGCTGGTGTGGGTAAAATAAATTTATCAGCTAAACATGCAGAAAGCCATCATGTTGTGGACATGCTATGCATTGAAATAAATTTAAAGGGTGGTGGAATATGCAAGAAGAAAAGAAAACTTACTTTGCCCAAAACAGCTATATTCAGAAGCACCATTATAACAACTAATGAGTTAAGTGAGAAATTTTTGGGGTTGCATGATAATTTAGGTAGAGCTCAGAACAAAACTAACTTTAAAGGAGAATCAGAGAGGGGTTGCATGATAATTTAGGTAGAGCTCAGAACAAAACTAACTTTAAAGGAGAATCAGAGATTTTCTTGGAATTAAATCCTTTTTCACTACCATTCAGATGATGTGGGTCAAAATCTGTGTTTCAAGCTTTGTAACTCCTAAACAGAACAGAGTGAATAGGCAGGAGTCAGTGACCTTCCAGCCAATGAGTCTTGCGTGGTCGACGGCTGCAGCAAGATCACTGTCTGATGCTAGTACAACCTTGTCGTGATCCTCATCTTCATACTAAAGCACATGATCATGAGCAAAAGTGATAATTAGAAAAGAAAAATTACTACTACTAGAAGAGGGATGGGAAGGGAACTATTCACACTGAGAAGTTTCAATATACCAAAATTTGTGGCACATTGTTCTTATCAATGTCATCACCAACCCTTTGGAGGATGCAAGCTATAAGGTCTGCTAAGCTGTGAGTTTCTGAAATGAGGCAGTGGCAAATTTCCAACATTATCTCAAAAATGACAGGAACTGATCGCTTTTTACTAAAGGATTTGGAAAAGGAACTGAATATAGAGATCAATACCACAGTTAAATCTATGCATTCTTCCCTTTCTATCCTGTATCTTAAAGCCAAAGGTTGAGCTTAAGCTGGAAGATGGATAAAAAGCAGACCTCCCTGTCTCTGATTCTGGTGCGAACTTCAAGGATCCTTCACTGTAATGGAACTTCAGCTAGGTTAATTGAACAGGTAATTAAATAATGTCAGGATTGTATAAGCATATTGGTAAGTTTCTTAATAATGGAATGGAATATACTAACCTTCGAGTATCATCATCAGTATCAAGAGGCTCTATGGCCATAGCAGTATCCCAAAACCTCTGCATCATTGAGCCAGTTGCCTCCACTCCAAGCCCTCCACTGCTTCCCACCTTAGTGATAGACACAATTTGAAGAATGCCTCTCAGATAAGTAACATAAAGGAAATCAAGAGATTTCTCAATAACCATGTCAAGTAGGAATCTTCTCCAAAATAGAAAGTTGTATGTTTAACACAGCCCATATATCCACCTAATTTGCTACCTGTTTACATACTTATTTGATGTAGAACACTTAGCAGACACGTTTATGTCAAAGTGAGACAGTCACAAGCCTAAATGCGGGCCTGGTCGAAGAAAATAACTTGTTTCGAAGAAACGACCGTAACTTTCAAACCGTACGTCGGAATTGGACGAATTATATATGAAAATCGATTATCTCGATGAGACGGAGCCATCCAAACCTATCCCTTCGGGTTCAGTTTGCGTTCTCAGTTTCGCCAAATTCCTTACAGTTTGAGAGATATTTGCATTTTTGTCCGTTTTTTTACTATTTTTAGTAATATTTTAGGAGTCTGTTTTGTTTAGGAAACAAATCCGATTTGATCTCAGATTTGACCGGAGGACTTTCCTAATCATAAAAAGTCTTTTTAGGAGTTTTAATGTTTTAGGAATTCTTTGATTTGACCGGAGGACTTTCCTAATCATAAAAAGTCTTTTTAGGAGTTTTAATGTTTTAGGAATTCTTTGCCATTTTTGGTAAGTTGAGTCCTTGTAGGAATTAGAGTCATTGTAGGAGTCTTGTTTCTTTTTTCTATTTAAGAAGAGTCTTGTAAGCCCTAGAGGCATAACTTTTGATTAATAAAATTTCGTTTTTCCTCAATATTTCTTTATGGATTCGAAGCTCTTCGTGGATTCAAAAATCGTTCTTTGTGGATTCAGAGAACACCCTTGGTGGATTCCGAGGTTACAACTTCCGCGCTGCGTCATTATTGCCCTGTACATTGTAGCAACCATTGTTGTTTCCTACTGCTAACTATTGAAAATGTTACAAGACTGTTTGCTGAAAAACCTAAACTTTTATAGCGGATTGATTAATTTACTATCATTCTATACTGTAAGGCATTTTTTACATAATTGAGAACTCAAATTCTGATGACTCATATTTGCGTCGAAAATTGCTGTATTCATTGCGGTATTCATTACAACTTCGGTCGTTACAATGAAAACAAAAAAAAGATAATCTTTTTATAAGACTTTTACACAATAAAAACAATAAAAATTATAACTCTCGTCAAAACAAACGCAGGGAAATCGTTTATCGGTCTTCTTCTTGCGTGGGTGTCTTCGCCTGTGCCGGGGTTTATCCGTGGATCACCTTTAATCATATCCGGTTGCTAAAAATTCGACAGAGCTCCTACCTCACCAAGGAGGTATTTGCTTGAAGTGCTGAAATCGACCAAACGAAATCAGTAGCTCTTCTCGAGATTAAGACCAAGCCTAATCTCAAGGAACGGTGGAATCGGGCTTCAGATCTTTCGAATAGCTCCTTTATGCTGAAGTTCGTCGGGATCTCGCTAACCCTCGCTGAAATTCGTGGCTCTTGGCTTTGGAGTTCGACAGTACCTCATCATCTTGATAATAAATCCGCCCCTGCTAAAATGAGCCCCCGAGCTCGTATTTATAAGCTTCGGTTGGGGGGTTTTGGATGAGAATGAATGATTCGTCCTTATCTTCAGTTAATAACTGATTAACCACGTTAGGGGATGATATCAGATCAATTTGGATGCTCAGGAACGACAAAATCCCGAGAAAAACCGTCAAAAACCGAACGGGGATCGAAACAGCGCGAGGGGGCGAATCTGACCCTCGCTTGCGCGGGTCGGTTGTGTCCGACTCGCGCTTGCGCGGGTCGGTTTGGTCCGTCCCGCGCGGCGCGCTTTTGGCTTCGTTGATTTTTATGTTTTTCGGTTCTTCCGGGACTTGTATTTTTCACCGTTTTGCATATTTGATCGTCTTGTTGATTTGTACGCTCCGCACGAGTTGACCTACGCGCGCGATTTGACCGACGGGCGCGAGTTGATTGTTGGGCACGCATTGATTGATGCGCGCGAGCTGATTGACGCGTGCGAGCGGATTGACGGGCGCGCGTTGACTGATGAGCACGAACTGATTGACGAGCGTGCGTATATTGACCGACGCGTTCGATTTGACCGACGCGCGTGAGTTGGTTGACGCACGCGAGCTGATTGACGCGCGCGTGTTGACCGACGCGCGCGAGCTTGATTGATAAGCGTGCAAGCCACTCGGTTTGCTGTTTTGCTTCAGGCGCTTGTCGACGTCAGATAATCCTCTTAGACTCGGATAACGACGTACATCGTTTTCTCTCCGTCTCGAGCTGTGTGCGGACACCCATAGACATTTTTAGACGCCTACAACTCAGACAGTAGAAAACACATCCACACATACACACAAACACATACATCGGGAAATAAGAGGTGAATTCACATATCATGGGGTGACTTAAAAATATAAAGTGGATTATTATTTTCAAAATCCAAACAAATCTTATTTACCTCCATATTTGAAATAATGTGTCAAAGAAATCCTAAATCATATTTGTCTCCAGAGCCCTCTAAGCCCACTCATCAAGTGTTCAAAAATGAGTTTTCTTCCAAATTGTGTCATTTAGTGCACACTTATGGTCTAGCAGATGGAAAATAAGATGGATGATTTAAATTACTGAAGAAGAAAAACAATTTGTAGCTGTAAGTCACCCCCTTCCTATTTTTTATTTGGTAAAATTGCACCTCCCTCCCTCCACACACATTGACACGTGTACATTCATGCACACAGGCACCAAACATCTATTTAGAAATTAATCTATACAAGAACATACCTATTGAAAAAGTAAACAAATAGTAGTCGTCATTTGTAGATTTTAGAGACTTGTTGTGTCGATAACATGTCTCCATGTCGGAACACAAAACTCATCACCCAGTCCAAAATTGTGTAACAAAATATTCAAAATATTTGAATGATGCTTCATTTTACAACCATTTTAGTACATACGGATACTAGTATATCTATCAGAATATAATTAGGATATGTTTGTATCTGCTCTGGTTAAAATCCGCTCTGGAAATAATTGTTATATATTAGTCATATATGTTAATGCTATGCGTATGCAAACATAATAAATAACTGTTCGTAAATGTTTATTACTCGTAGAAATCGGTACTATAAACATTCTGGCTGATTTCGAAATTGATGCAGGACAGCTTAAAGTATATGAATTGCTACAGTTAGGATTAGGAAACATAGTTAGGATGAGAATAATGTTGTTGGATTCGTTAGATATTTATTTAGTTAGCTGATTTTCAGTTTCATTAGTAGACTTCTTTGTTTTATTAGTTGCTTTTTGTGGTTAGGATTGAGGTTTGTTTTCAGTTGTTGGGTTTATTTATAAATGACGTGTATTCTCTTTTAACGATATACAATGATAAATGTAATTTATTAGTTTTACGAGAAATCTCTTGAGTGCATGTGAAGTGCTAGGCATTTGAGTTGCCTTATGCCATGAAGCCAAAGATTAAGTCCTAGAGAGTGAATCCAGCCTAATCGAGGTATCTTTATTTGTTTTATTAGATCTATATTTCTCCACAAATATAGTCCACCAAATCAATCCGCTGCCTCTAGAGAGTGAACGGAGACTCGTGTTCACTGTTCACTGAACAGTGCCTCACCTAGACACTGATCTCCATTTTCATCACAATCAGCCCCTCCGACAATCCAACACCCTGCAATGATCTTTTCGGATCCTCTCCGACCTCGAACGATAATGTCGAATCTTCCCGGATCAAAGTCCTCTCAGTCCATTTCCTGTCGTTTGGTATTAGAGCATAGTTGATTATGCTGGGAAACTGAAGAAAATCTACCTTAAAATGAACGAGATAAACAAAAAATTAGATAGATTGATTGAGAAGAGAACTCTCATTGAGAGAGATTCTAAACCTGAACCCAAGTCAGAACTAGAACTTGAGCCAAAAGTTGAACCAAATCAAGTGATAGAGCCCGAGCCCGTGCCAAAGCCCGAGCCTATGCCCAAGCCTGAGCCTAAGTTAAAGCCCGAACTTGAGCTTGAATCAAGAACAAACTAGAGTGCTGATCCAGAGCGCGAGCCTAAATTAAAGCTAGAGCCTGAGTTCAAAAGAGTGTAGTCCAAAATGCCTCCAATCTGTAATAGTTCAATAATAGAGTTCGTTACTCCAGATCTTGTGCCGCCTACTCCTTATCAAATTATGCAGATAATTTTAAAGGCCCAGTGCATGCAACAATACTTCCCACATGTCAATGGGATTTTCAGGCTCTCCCATAATAAACCTTGAGGTCGAGTTTTCTCGAATAAGGTGAAATTTGATGCATGACATTTTAAAGGATTTGAATTGCTATGGTTAGGATTAGGAACTTAGGATGTGAATAATGTTGTTGGATTGGTTAGATATTTAGTTAGCTGATTTTCAGTTTCATTAGTTGACTTCTTTGTTTCAATAGCTGTGATTTGTGGTTAGGATTGATTTATTTTCAGTTACTAGATTTATTTATAAATAACATGTATTCTCTCTTTCAAGGATAGCGATGATTAATGTAATTAGTTTTGAGAGAAATCTCTTGAATGCATGTGAAGTGCTAGGCATGTGACTTGTCTTATGGCATGAAAACAAAGATTAAGTGCTAGAGAGTGAATCCGGCCTAATCAAGGTACATTTATTTGTTTTATTAGATCCATATTCCTCCTATAGTTCATCAAATCAATCCGCTGTCTTCCTTTTTTTTAGTTACTGTTTATGCAACTCACGTATACTGTTAGTGTTTGCTGAACAGTACCTCAACTGGACACCGATCTCTGATTTCATAGCAATCAGCCCCTCCGACGATCCGACACCCTACGGCGATCTTTTCAGGTCCTCTCCGACCTCGAACGATCAATATCGAATATTCTCGGATTGGAGTCCTCTCAGTCCGTTCCTCATCAGATCTGAAATTTACACATCTACCTAATTTGGATATCAGTATAAGATATTTATACGTCCTAGTGAAAATGGATAGAGCATAATATTTTCAGATTCATATATCAGGATATTTGCTTGTTCACATCCTTAACTCAACTCCACTAAAACCTATACAAACTAGAGGTAGAGCTCATTGGGTCATGAAAGACTAATAACATCAAAAATGAAGCTTCTATAAAACAATAGAAAGAGGGACAGCTACATGAATCACTTTATTTCATTCTTTTTTTTTCATTTGTCATCTCTTTATCAACAAGGTCTGGTGCCAAGTACATAAATCTAATTGACTCTCCTCAGTGTGAGCAACTCCACCTCATTTGTTTTTCTATTTTATCTTTTGTTATTATTTCACTCATCTACAATAGCATTCTGATTTAGCTATACTCTTGTTTGGACATGTTTCATAATTACCCAACATTCTGATGCATAAAGTGTTATTTCTCTTATAGTTGTTCTATGAAAGAATTTCAGTGCAGGAGGAAGTGGTATATGTGGGCGCTAAAACATCAGTATAGCGGTTTCCTCACCAACATAGACGGCTGCCTAAGTCTAGGCTCTAGATGCCCACCCAGATCCATGGCTCATCTAGCGTCTTCTAGAAATTCATAAAACTTTCCTTCAATCTAAGGGTTAAGGTCACAAAAGATACTAGATGTACCTCTCCGTTTAACCATCTTGCTTTGATTTGATGTAACATCTTTCTCAATCTCACTATCTTAACAACCAGGATTGATGCTAAGAAGCAGAAATGATCATCCTTAATCATGAAAGGCTCATTGATGGGGGTTGGACGGAGGGCTTCGATCTGATCATGATGAATCTGAAACTTTTGGCTTGCTGGAATTTCGATATAGGATAGGGAAAATATCAGTTTTCAATAAAAGGGACTGTTGAATGCCAGGGATTGGATGGGGTAATTTGGGGGCTGCTTTGGATTGATTGTGGTGGTAAAGAATGGAAGAATAGGGCTTGTGGTGGTAAAGAATGGAAGAATATGGCTGTTTTGATTTTGTGCATTGAACAAATTTGGTTGGAGGGCTGTTAGATTAGTGTGGCGACTACTGGAGAACAGAAAATGTGGACCAAATGTGCATTGTTTGTTGGCTGCAGGAGGGTTGTTCTGGAAACATGTGAGGGGAGGAAAGGAAGGGGTTTAGATAAATAACTAGGTTTCACAACTACGGCTTCACACGCACGACACTTCACATGTCAAACACAAGCACTCACATGCTAGATAGAATTTCAAAACTCAAATTTTATTAATCAGTGTCTATCCCTCATGGAGGATTAGACATTTATAGAAGAGAAAAGCATCTAAACACTTAAAGGAAGCAAATCAAAATCCTAATCACATCAAAACCTAATACACCAAAAGATTGCAATCAAATAAAATTCTAAAAAACTAGAAGGAAATCAAAATCAAATCCTAAAGAAATCCTAGCTAAAGTAGAAGATTGCATAGAATAAAATCAAATTCTACCAAAAATATTAACATCCTAATAAATCCTAATCGCATCAGGTCGATGGTCCACGGCCATCCTACATCACTCATCACCCACACTTTCGCAATTTAACCAAAAAGTTCTCAACAAGAATATTTACAATATTTAACCATCTTTGGCATCACGAGCTAAGTGCACAAAGCCTGCAAATCATTTGCCATAGCTCGCCAACGGTATCCTATGATGCACGGATACGGATATAGGACACGGATACGATACGGACACGGATACGGGATACGGCAAAATCCAAAATAATAGGATACGGGGATACGGCAAGGATTTTTTTAAAAATATATTATTATATATAGAAAAATTTATAAAATTCAACTAACAATCTAAAATATGAATCTATCACAAAATAACAAGTTTGTAAACAAAAAGTACCTCAAGATGAAGTGAAAGCTGAGAGATTGAGAGAGAGGATTAGGGTTATGGTTAGGGTTTTTCTTATTTTCTTTCGTTTGAGTTAGCTGAGAATCGAATCGAACAGGGGATTTGAGAAATAGGGATGAGTTTTTTAATCGAACGGTTCGGGTTGGATTTTAACAACCAAACCCGCAACCCGAATGAATCAGCCTTCGGCGAATCTGAGCCATGTCCGAGCTCCTTTGACCGTGCCCGAGCCTAATTTGACCGTTGACCCGTGTCGGACACGGATTGACCGTGTCCGACACGTGTCGTGCACGTGTCATGACGAATCCGTGTCCGATTCGAGTTGGACACGGATTCATGGCCTCTGGGGGCGAATCCGTGCTTCAGAGATAGTATCTAGCAAAAATTATGAAACTAGATTGCAACATCTTGCTAGAAAGCAACATCCAGGTAGTCAGCATCCCCTTTGTTCCATAGAAGGATAAACTTACATGGGTTATGGAAATCAGTATTACTAAAACCAAGTATATTGCTAATAGTCTGATTAAAGTAGAGGAGTAACTTATGGAAGCTACAGGAGCATGGGCATTATGAATGATATATCAACATGTAGAAGTGCAATGAAAGTAGAGAAGGGACTTACTGTAGCTATTGCAGCGTGGGTAATGTGAATAACATCAATAACTGAGACAATGTTCCCATCTATCGCAAGGCAAACAACTAGTTAGCAACCTGGGAGAGAAACTAAAGATACATAAAGCTTTTATTCTTTCAAAATATAGTCCATGTGCAATATGAACCTCCATCGACAACGGGGAGGTGTAGAAATTTTCCATCATGCATAGTATGTAGAGCATCAACAATTGGTGTATCAACAGCCGCACATTCAGGATTTGGGGTCATGACCTGCATATGACATGTTCATATTTCAGAATACAGTAGGCAATTGACAATAGGTTCAGAAATGATATTTTTTGGGCCCAGCAAGCCAACAACATAAAACCACTATGTGAGATTTGAAAAAGAATGCAGGCAATACGAGAAGTTACTATAATGTTCACATTTTAGCTAGCAGTAGGAAATAACTCAGGCTAATATTGCCAAAGCAATTAAGTTCATAACTTGTATATAGTTGGCATAGTAATCATCCTATCATTGCCTAGTCACTGAAATGAGCACAAGACATTAAGCTCATCTGAGTTTTAGTTAGTTCTTGGGACATTACTTTCTGCAAAACCTTGTAATGTTCTAGTTCTGTTAAGTTTTACTCGTCCTGAGATATTTTTCTCCAAAACTTCCACTATGTTTTATCACCATTTTTGGAAAAAAAATTATATGAGAAACAAAGAAAGAAAATAGTTCACGGTATTCCACCAACTAACAAGAAATTACGACTAAAAACAAAACAATAAATTTTTGAATAATTGCCGAAAGCACAAAGTGAATCATTGTATTGGTTCCAAAAGTGATCTCTCTCCCATGCCCAAGGTCATTGCCAATAATCAGCATGATAACCACAAATAAAAAAATTTACATAGACCCAACCATGCTATTAACATGGAGGTTCATACTACAGATTGTCAGTAGCTATTCTAACATGAGAAAGAGAACATGGAGGCTTAAACTACAGATTGTCAGTAGCTATTCCATCGAGGTCACTATATGGATAGGGCACTGCACCTTTTAGTACTGCTAGCCAAGCTCACCCATAATTACTATTAGCTTAACTTTTCCGGTTTAACAACTTTAGCTTTTCCTCCATCCCTTTTAACACAGTGAGAAAAAAATAACACAGAATTCTTTCAAGGCCTTTGGGACCTACCATCATCTGGATCATCATAAGATGGAGAATTATGCTTTCTGGATTTTATGTATCCTTCTTAGCTTTATTTATTCATTTGGCATTCCATGACTCGGCTTCTCTATCTTAAGTATACCTTCTACGCTTTTACCATCACCAAATTAATTACATCAAAATGTTTAGAGTTCCAGCAATATCTCTATCCTGTCCATAATGTTTTCTTTCCTCTGATCACCATTTTGAAAGACCCAGTTTTCTATATATCCTTTGTTGTTGTTGCTGTTATTGTTTTTCTTTTTCTTTTAACATTACTTTAAGGTTCCAAATTTACATGTTATTTCTGAAATATATGATTTACCGATATGAACAGGGAGTGTCTGACACCACAATTGTCTAAAATGAGAACAAGAGAAAACAGATGATATGTATGTTTCAGCTGAAATAATTTGTCACTTATACAATCGTATGATTTAAAGTTATCGATATGTGACAACAAAATTGTAGGGTTGAAAAAGTTTGGTTGATTTCTTTAATTTGAAGAATTAAGATTCCATCATTCGGTACGAATCTATTACAATCGCTCTCTCAATTACAGAGGAAGAGAAGTTTTGATTTGACTTCTCTTTAATTTAATGTGGGTTCTTGGTGGCGAAAGGACGTCTCCCTCGATGCTCGAGCCGAGATCGCTTCCCGTTGACGATCAGAACAAAATTGCTGAAGAGCTTGGATTGGTGCTGTAGATTTCTGAATGCTCTTGTGCGCGTAGTTTGATCTTCGAAAATTCCCCAAATTCTCTATTTCCCCCTAATAGCTGCCCCTTATAGCTGCTCGAGGCTATTTATAAGAGTTTAGCACGTAACTGACTTGCTAAAGTCATGGGAACGCGGGCATAACTGATGCGGTTGTAGGCGTAACCGACGCCTACCACTTAGCTCACGTGGCTGTCATGGTCTTTGGGACCGTTACAGCCCAATTTGAAGTGAGTGACGAGCTTCATTGTATTGGTGAACCTCGTCTTTGATGTCGAACCTCGTTGTGTTGGTGAACATCGTCTTTGATATCGAACCTCGCTGTGTTGGCGAGCTTTGACTTCGATGTCGAGCTTCGTTGCTATATGACGTCCCTGTGCCAACTCGAAAGGCAGTGATGATTGATTCGAAGTCCGAGACGAGACAACCCTCATGTGTCGACTCGAAAGGCGGTAATAGCCAACTCAAAGTTCGAGATGAGACCCGAGACGAAATCTCCTTTGTGTCGACTCGAGAGGCGGTGATAGCCGACTCGAAGTCCGAGATGAGACCTGAGACGAAATTTCCTTTGTGTCGACTCGAGAGGCGGTGATCGTCGACTCAAAGTTCGAGGTGAGACCCGAGACGAGATCTCTTTCGTGTCGACTTGAAAGGCGTTGGTAGTCGACTCGAAGATCAGAGACGAGACGACCCCCTGTGTCGACTCGAAAAGCGGTGATCATCTGCTCGAAGTCCGAGACGAGACCTCCTCCATGCCGAATCGAAAGGCGGTGATGATTGATTCGAAGTCCGAGACGAGATGACCCCCTGTGTCGACTCGAAAGACGGTGATCATCGGCTCGAAGTCCGAGACGAGACGACCCCCTGTGTCGACTCGAAAGACAGTGTTAATCGGCTTTGTTGCCTTGTCGAACCGGAGCCTCGTTGTCTTGTCAAACCTCGCCTTTCTGGATTTCAACCGAACTTTGGCGTTGGTCTTGGCTAGCGAGGTTCATTATAATGAGTTACGACCCTCGTCTTGACTAGCCTCTCAATCTCCCCTCTTTTCATGTTGATCATGCCTATTTATAGGCTTAGGACCATTATAAAGTGAGTTAATGGGTTTTAACTCCCCTTATAATGAGGGAGTTAGTGGTCATTAACTCTCCTTAAATGAATGAGTTAGTGGTCATTAACTCTTCTTAAATGGGTGAGTTATTGATCATCAACCTTTCTTAAATGCAGCGTCTGAAAATGGTGACAGACGAGGTTTGTCAATAACGACAATGACGAACTTCATCTTTAATGACGAACTTTGTTTCTAATGAACTTCGTCTTCAATGATGAACTTCGTTTCTGACGAACTTCGTCTTCAATGTCGAACTTCGTCTTCGATGACGAACTTCGTCTTCGATGACAAACTTCGTTTCTGATGAACTTCGTCTTTAATGATGTCCATCATCATGATGGGCTTCGTTGGCTGAGATGAGGTTCATCATCATGATGAGCCTCGTCATGCTTGTAGCGAGGTTCAACCTGGCTTTATTCCTTAGCTTTTTTAGTGCCTACAATAATTTTCGTAAAATGGGAATTGGATTCAGAATACACCACTCAAAAATCTTGTATTCAACAATGCAATGGATTCAATTCAGATCCTAAATACATCGGTAATATGCTGATCGAGATAAAAAAAATCACATAATATCCAACCCAGTATCATTCTTTTATAGCCATATACAAATCATGTGACACAAAGAGATAGGTTATCTTAGATCACGTGCACAATCTAGTGGAAATAATCGCGAAAGAATAAGCAAAAGAATATAAAATGACAAGTAATTGCAAATACTAAAATTTATGTGGTTCACTCAATTTGGGCTACGTCCATGGTAGAGACGTCGGAGAAATTTCACTATAGAAAGAGAAAATAGTACAAGAACTCTCAAAAGTAAAAGCCTACATAGTGTGACACATGACATTGATAATCGATGGTCTTAAGAGTTGGTCGTGGTGTTTGGATCGAGGTGGAGTGTGTGATGATCAAGATGCTTCGGAAGTTTTGACCTAGGTGGTGTATGGTGTGATCACGATAGTCTGGGTGTGGCGTGCTGAGTGATCGAGGATGCTTGTTTGGAAGACAATGACGATCATATTTGTTTGTTCCTAGGAGGTGGAGCATGGTGCATATGTGGTGTTTCTCTAAGAAATGGATGACGAAAATGTTGAAGTATCTCATGTTGCGTGAAGCTCGGAGACCGATTTATCAACGGATGATTGGTGTCTGGAGATGTGACCTCCGTGGAGAGATTGAGCTATTCTCACATTGGTGTCACTTAGCTATGAGCCAAAGGTGAGATTGTGGATGTCTCGTATCCATTTAGCATCTAACAGGTTTTAAGCCTAGTGGGCCTTTTGGCCAAGTTAGTGCTAGGGTTTAGCGCTATATAAGTCTCTCATGCGAGAGGGCTTGTGTGGAGAAACTGGTGACTTTGGATAGAATATGAGTGCTTATGTATCTATGTGAGGTTGAGAGAGATAGAGAGATGAGTGATCCTATTATTCTTCCTCATACACAGTGGATTCTCACATTGTTGCCCCATGGATTTAGGTCGAACTTGGTCGATGAGCCACGTAAATCTCGGTGTCTCTTCTTCTTGCTTGTTAACTTTTCTATCTTGTAAATTTGTGGTTTGATCTCCAGATTGCGGAAGTCGGAATTGGGGATAGTCGATTTCCCAACACCGTAAGTCTAGTCCAGTTGTACTGAGTATTCAGCAAGCACAAGTACATAAATAGAACTACTAAATTTTATAAATTTAGGAGCAACCATGACTTGAAACAGTACATGCAAAAGAAACCAATCAATAATTATTCTGCCATCTAAAATATGCAATCCAACTTTTACTTGATCATCAATAATATTTGTACAACATAAAACATCTACTCACCCACTATAGAAGGGGGGAAGAAACAAATAAGTGGACACAGGGAGAAAATTGCGATTTTATATTGCACAGCACCAAGCAAAGAAAATGAAATCAATAGCAAGAAACAGACCTTTTCCACAGGGGTTGATTCCGGAGGAAGATTTTGTGCAACCACACGCATTAATATATCTTTTGAACTGATATGGAACGAGAGTTTAGACTTTGAATGCGAACAATACTTTTTTGAAGAATCATTTCCACTAAATAGAACGTACTTCTAGTAAATGAAGAGGCAAGAGGGCTTACGTAAGTATCCCCTGAGGTTTGTTTTCAACTGTTACAACTGCTGAACTTATTTTCAGTTCAAGCATCTTCTTCGTTGCAGCTAAGACTGTGTCAGAAGGTGACACTAACACAACCCTAGTAAAATACGTCAATTTCAAGTTATCATAATTTTCAAGCTGGTCAAATTATCGCAACAGAGGCATCCAAAGCGAAGATGCATGAATGAAAAGATCATTGTGTACAAACTTTGAGCACGGGGTATTACCTACTTTGAATTCTCTGAGATAATGGTTGACAAGGCTGGCTTGAACATGCGATCTCGAAGTGTTTCAATAAAAGTATTAGGACCTGCAGACAGAAGATATGCAGTTAAATTATCCCAGTAGTATATAGAGAACCATTGGGTTTTTTATCATCATCATCATCATCCAAGCCTTTCCCTTATAAGAGTCAAGGATAGAGCAAAAACTACATGAGAAAGTTCCCAGCAAAAACTAGAAAAAAGAAGTCTAATAGAGGAACATAAGTGCTCTACTCTAACAAGCTTCATATCGGCATACCAGATACTGATGCTCCCCACTGCTTTTCTACCCCTTCGACTGCAGCTGCAATGGCCTTTCCCTTCTCTGCTGCCCTCTCCATTCGTGCAATGGCATCATAGAGACACTTGGCTATGTCAAGTAAAGCAATGACCTCACCATTCTCCACAACAGGTAAATGTCTGAACTTTCCTGAAAAAAAGTGAAGGCAAGAGTTGAAACTCAAGTTCTTAATAAAGAAAAAGGGAAAAGCCCTTAAATCCTAAGGATCCTTATAAACCTTGCACCATCTTCTGCAATGCCTCCACAGCTAATGTGTCTGAAAGCACAAAAACAGGACTCCTAGTCATAACTTTAGAAACAGGAGTTTCCTCAATCTTTACTTCACGAGCAATGACTCTTGTTGATATATCCTGCAAAAGATGAATAAAATATTACGTGTTCCACTAAATCAAATTATTTCCCAACAATTATAAACTTACCTTATCTGTCAGGATTCCAGAGAGCAAACCATTTGAATCTGTCAGCAGCACAGCATCAACTTTTCGAGCAGCCATTCTGCGGCATGCTTCTTGAACAGTTGTACCTTCAGGCATTGTTAAGGCTTTAGACAACCGCAACCTCTTTACAGTTCTCTCACTATTCAGAGTCCTGCTAAACAATGATGAAAGACATGAAAAAGGTATATTGAATGAGTGATAGTCGATACAATTTAGCGAAAAACATAAGAATAATTTCTATAAATCAGGTGATTGAAGCTAGGATTTAGATGCATATCTGCTTAAATGGTGATGCTTTCTCTATACAAGTATGAATAAACTAAATTTATCACTAGTTGGGCAGTCAAAGAAAATGCTGAAGTCCCTAACCAATACACCAAAACTTCAAAGTTGTGGTGATGGTTGAGGGATTATATTTTTACATTCTAACGTGCCCCCACAGGTTGAGTTCCCTTTCTTTATGGGCCAAAGCCTGGATTCACGCAGTGGCATCATTTTTTTTATAAATCCACTTTAAATTCATGGCCAGTAGGATTAACCTAGGTTGCTCTGCTACCATGTTAAAGTCTCTACCTAATACACCAAAATTTCAAAGTTTTGATGAGGGACGATGGTAATATTTTTATATTCTAACAGAAAATAAATGGCTGAAGTGCAATTACCCATGTTTATAATCTCGTCATGATGCCAATGGAGAACACTCACACATGAAATTTCTATAGATCAATTTCTAATTAAGGCAACATATATTAGATTAATTTCTAAAAATCAACGGGTATTAGCCACCATAGGAGGAAGTTCCCTCCTATAGTAACAAAAAGTTAACTTTGCCCCTCTATCTATCAAATTTCTCCATGTTGATTTTTTCATGTCTATTAATGTATGTATATCAATGATGACATGTATACATGTCATGAGATTTTTCGTTAGATCTAGGGACAAAATATTATTTCATCGAGCAACTTCAGGCTAATGATTATACTCCTCTTGATACAAGAAAACCCTCATGATATGCACATAAGTTTCAATGTACGTACATACAACATCAAGAACAAAATTGCACCAAATAAAAACGAACAAGGTAATAATGTTAGTCTTTTGACCCATTAACCTCTCTACCCCTCCAATGCTATATCAATTAGAAAAATATACATGACAACCAAATGGAAAATCTTATTTATTTTTATCATCGCATAAAATGAAAAATAGATAATAAAAAGCTTCAAAAGGTACCATCATTTTGGAATGGTGTAGAAGATTAAATATTTAATTTCTATGCCTTCTTTTAGTTATTTGTCAAGATTGTAAAATAGAGAATGATGTGGTTCATCACATCAAATAAGGATGGTTAAACTGCAATTATATGACTAGAAGCAATTTTACCCTATCTTCAATTTACAGATGAAGAGGGATAAGTGCTACTGGAGTTACAGATGTTAAATGCTAATTAAATGGTGCTCCTGAAAGTATAGATGAGGAGATAGAGAATGTATACATGATTAGTGCTACTTAAGGTAAATTGATTATTAGTCATTTGTCAAAATGTTGAAACAGAGAATGAACAGATGATTGGGTGATTAGTTCTATTAAAGGTATACATGATTGTTGGGGTGTGTGTTTTTCCCTTTTTTTGTGTGGGGGAGGGGGTTGTTATATTCAATTTATCCTTCTCAAAATGTGAATTCAAGAGTGTTTGGTGCCACCAAAATAGTTTAGTACCTAAGAAGTTATTAGTTATATTAAGATCACATGACAACCATTACATGATATCCAAGAGGCAAATCTAGTGAATTGCAAATAACCCCATCACTTACACATTCATTAGTAACTTATCATCCCCTCAACTATTTTAGTAACACTGAACATCTCTAAATTCACATTTTGACAACAACAACAATAACAAAGCCTTTAACCCAAATGCTTAGGATCAGCTACATGCATCATATTCTTCCATTTTATTCTGTTATCGGTCATCTCTTCAATTAAGTTAGTCATAATCATATCCTTCATATTGCTTCCAATCAAGTTCTTTTGGGTCTACCTCTAGATCTCTTAGCCCCATTAACTATAATATTATCACTTTTCCTAACCGATGCACTAAAAGGTCTCCATCGTATATGATCAAATCTAGGGCTGTGCAATTGGTCAGTCAATTCGGTTTTTGGTCAAACCGAACTGAACTGCCTATAATTCAAAAACGAAGCGAATCGATTCAAGTCGGTTCGGTTCGATTTGGGTCAGCTTGTTCGGTTTTTACTTAGATACAAATGTTATGTCCAAATTCAATTTCACCTCTAATCTATTGACAAAGAAAGAAGTCTCTTACACTTCAATTTATTGAAATTCATAAAGTATTAAATGCTACGGAATATTAAATGTAGAAATCAAAATATTATTCTTACCAAAGATTACATAAATATTTTTAGCGAAAACTTACATAAAGAATTGAAGTGATCTCAATCTGATAGACTAAGTAAATAAAAAATATGTAATATGTAATAGAGGAGAAAAATCAATCGAGGAGAAAAATCAGAAAAATATTAGAATCAATATTATGGTTTAAGTTTCTTACCTCCAAAGTGGATTGGTCCAAAGTAGAAGTGAATATGTAATAGAGAGGAATAGATAACTAGAGATAATGAAAGCCTTATAATTAGAGAGGACACTATTGTTGAGATATTTTATTGCTATCAGGTCGCGCGAGAGAAAAACATATCAAGCTGCACAGAAATAACTTTATATGAACTATAACGGGTCGGGTTTAAGTAGATGTAAATAGTAATTAGAATGGGTAATACAATTTGGTCGGTTCGGTCGGTTCAGGTTGAAAAAACTTTAACCTGATCAGAATCGAACTTTAATAAAAACCGAATCAAACTGTTAAATTTTGACAGGTTTGGTCAGTTTGTTCGGTTTGAACTGAACTATGCTCATCCTAAACCAAATCAGCTTAATCTATTCTCTCTCGTTTTGTCCTCAATAGGAGCACCTCTAATTTCGACGGATGCACTCGTTTATTATCCTATCTTTTAATGCATACCCACAAGACTATCACAACATTGTCATTTCTGTTACACTCATTTTTTACACATATTATCTTTTAATTACCTAACACTCGGACCCATAAAACATAATTGGTATTATAACTATTCTATAGAATTTTTTCTTTAGTTTCGTTAGTATTTTACCATCACATAAGACTCCTAAGGCACTCCTCCATTTCAACCATCCCAATTTAATTCAATGTACAACATCATCCTCTATCTCACCATCATGTATAATGATTAATCCTAAATAACGAAAGCGATTACTTATAGGCATTTTCTGACCATTAATATGCACTATATACTTTTTTCTTTTCTTAGTTTTACTAAAACTACACTCTATATATTCTATTTTTGTTCTACTAATTCTAAAATATTTAGATTCAAGATATTGTCTCCATCTTTTTACTTTAGAAATTATACACCTTCTAATCTTATCAACACTAGATCATCTATAACTAACATATACCATGTAATTTCATCCTGAATGTGTCTAATAAGTTGGTCCATAACTGATGCAAAAAGATAAATGCTTAAGGCTGACCCTTGTTGTAAACTTGTGGTGATAGGAAACGACTTAGTCCCTCCTTCATTAGTTCGTACTCTAATTGTTACTCTATCATATATATCTTTAATCACATCAATATATGAACTAGATACAAGTTTTTTCTAAAATCCACCACAATACCTCTAGGCACTCTATCATAAGTTTTTCCTAGATCAATGAAAATCATATGTAGATCCTTTCTCGTCTCACTATCTCTCTCCTCAATTGTTCCAAAATATGTATAGATTCCATAGTTAACCTCCCAGGCAAAAAACCAAATTAATTTTTAGATATACTTGTCTCCTTTCTTAGTCTTTGCTCAATTACTCTCTCCCAAAATTTCATAGTATGACTCATGAGTTTTATACCATAATAATTTAAAGAACTTTGTGTATCTCCTTTATTCTTATATATCGGTATCAAAGTACTAATTCTCTACTCATCAGGCATTCTCTTCGTCTCGATAATCTTATTAAATAATTTAGTTAACCATCTTAAGCCTATTGTTGATGATGTGTAACGAAACAGTCAATATATTAGGGTTAAGGTTAGCCTCTTTCTAACGATCATTTCTTCATTCTACGATGGCATCAGATCTAGTTGACCGACGAGCTCTTCTGACGGAGTTCCACTCAAAGGTGACCCAAGCACAGAAGAGGAAGCTCCACGGGAGATTTGATAACCCACGTGAGTACGAGCTGATGGCCCTGACGAGGTCGGAGGCCGTCTATGATCATGGGTCAGATCGGGCCCCGCTCTACTTGAACCATTTAGAGTTTGGTCTGTGACTGCCCCTACACCCCTTCCTCCAATAGGTTTTTACGGTACTAGGGGTATCGTCTGCCCAAAAGAAGTCGAACGCCATCGTCATCTTGGTGGGGTTCGTCATGATCTGTCATTGGTTGGCAATAAAGCCATCCTTAAGAGTTTTGGGCTATCTGATGACTATGAAGGTGAACCAGACTAAACCCCACTTTCACTTCCAAATGGTAGAGAAGTATAAACTCATCACCGGCCTTCCTGACTCCAACAAGGACTGGAAAAAAATGTTTATCTGGATCGTAAAGGACGACTTGGAGTTGGGCTGCTCGAACTGGCCCGAGATAAGGAGGGAGACGCTCATGGCGAGTGACTTGCTCGACGTCGAGAGGGATGCGCTTGATCGGATCAAGGTGTATGCTGGCTCTCGTCGAGTAGAACATCTGCTTGACAACTCAATCTTGCGGGTTGTCAATGTGTCGGTCATGCATTTGTCTGCCAAAGATCAGGAGAGGGCTTCAGCCCTTATCTTAGGGACGACAGAAGTGACGATGGTGTCGACCGCTCCTCTGACTGAAGTACTGAACCCTAGGAAGGGTTGTCTGCTAGGCCCGAGAGGCGTCTCCACCGTGACTTTCACCCAATGGAGGCCGAGACAACCAAGGCAGAGCCTTCTGCCACCCTCGTCCATAAACGAAGTGATTGGAGACATAGCGGTGCTGACGTAGTCTAATGAGTCATAAAGACTATTGGGACTAGAGGTATTGATACGCCTGTCAAGCATTAAATATGTCACCGACGTGCTGTCAGCGGGAGAGGCTCGAGGCCGAAGTCGTCCTTTAGCTTGATCGAGAAGTAATACCTTTTGAGTCGACATCGCGAGGCGTCAAATAGCTGGTCGAGTGGGCTCGTTGCGAGTCATCTTCAACAAGAGGACCGACAAGTACCGTCATTCGAGTCAACTTAAGGAGATGTTGACTCGACGGGTTGGATACATCGGGATCCTTGGTTTCTTTGACTGCCAATTTGACTTGCACGGTGCATGCAGGGGGGACACCTGTACGTTTTTGGCAAAAGACCGTACTTTAGCGACTGGAAACACCATAACGCCTATGTTTTCAAGACATCTCTAAACTTTAAAGATATCGTCCGGTCCCACGGCTCTTGCACTTTTTATTTTCTTTATAGTATCTTTAACCTCACTGATCCTAATTTTTCGATAATATCTATAGTTCTTATCATTCACTATATGTTCAAATTCTCTATTTTGCTCACTTGTTTAGTTATCATTAAACAATTAAGGAAAGTAACTTCCCCATCTCTCTTTTATTTCCCCATAGGCCACTAGAACTCTTTGATCTTCGCTTTTAATACACCTAATATTACCCAAATCTCTACTCTTTCTTTCTCTAATATTAACAAGCTTATATATATATATATATATATATATATATATATATATATATATATATATATATATATATATATATATATATATATATATATATATATATATATATATATATATATATATATATATATATATATATATATATATATATATATATATATATATATATATATATATCCCTCCTTTTTGTTCTACTAATTCTAAAACATTTAGATTCAAGAGCTTGACTCCATCTTTCTATTTTAGAAGTTATGCATCTTCTAGTTTCATTAACTAATACTATATCATTTGCAAATAGCATACACTATGGGATTTCATCCTGAATGTGTATAGTAAGTTGGTTCATAACTAATGTAAAAAGATAAGAGCTTAAGGCTGACTCTTGATGTAAACCTATGGTAATGGGAAACGACTTAGTCTCTCCTTCATCAGTTCGTACTCTAGTTGTTACTCTATCATACATATCTTTAATCACATTAATATATAAACTAGATACATGTTTCTTTTCTAAAACCCACCACATTACCTCTCTAGGCACTATCATAAGCTTTTTCTAGATCAATAAAAATCAGATTTAGACTCTTTCTCTTATCTCTATATCTCTCCATCAATCGTCTTAAAATATATATAGGTTCCATAGTTGACCTCCTGCGCATAAAACCAAATTGATTTTCAGATATACTTGTCTCTTTATTTAGTTTTTGCTCAATTACCCTCTCCCAAAGTTACGTAGTATGACTCATGAGTTTTATGGACAATAATTTGAGCAACTTTGTATATCTCCTTTATTCTTATATTGGTATCAAAGTACCAATCCTCCACTCATCACACATTCTCTTCGTCTCGATAATCGTATTAAATAATTTAGTTAAATCATCATAAGCCTATATCTCCAAGATATCTCCAAATTTTAATAGGGATACTGTCCTGTCCTACGGCTCTTTCACTTTTCATTTCCTTTAGAGCATCTTTAACTTTGCTACTTCTAATTTTTCGACAATATCTATAGTTCTTATTATTCACTATATGGTCAGATTTTCTATTTTGCTTACTTGTTTAGTTATCATTAAACAATTGATGAAAGTAACTCCACCTCTCTTTTATTTTCCCATTGGTCACTAGAATTCTTTGATTTTCACTTTTAATATACCTAATATTATCCAAATGCCTACTCTTCCTTTCTCTAATCTTAGCAAGGTTATATATATCTTTCTCTCCCTCCTTAGATTCTAACTTCTTATAGAAATTTTCATAAACGTTGTATTTATCTCGCTAACCACTCTTTTTGCTTTCTTCCTTACTAGCTTCTATTTCACTAAGTTTTCCCTACTCCTACACTTTTTTCACTTTTTATATGAAGTTTTCTTCTCTCTAATAACATTTTGCACATTCTCATTCCACCACCAACTCTCATTACCGTCTAATCTACACTCTTTAGATTCTCCTAGTACATCCTTAGTCACATGTCTAATACAAGGAATCATGCTATTCCACATAATATTAGTCTCATTATTTAGAGGTTGTTTGGTTCCCTGTTTTTAAGGAAAAGTTTCTCTTGAAAGCCTGCCAAAAGTGTCAAAAGTCACTTTTTGACAGGCTTTCAGCCAAAATCTTCTTTTTAGAGGTGATTTGGGCTGAAAGCCTGCCAAAAAGTGACAATTTAGCAGGCTTTCAAGAAAAAAAATTCTAACCAAACAGCCCCTTATATTCCATATATCTTCTTTCATTATCTTATCATTAAAATGCATTAAATTCTCTCCTTTTAAAATTCCCTTTTACTACCTACTTGTGGTGCGTAAATTGAAGAAATACACATTTTGAGAAGAAATAAATTGAAGAAAAATACCCCTGCCCCCAACTCCACCCATGAATTGAGAGTTGTCGAGCTAATAATTGACGGTGATAAGTCCTACTAAAGGTACAGATGAGGGTGGTCAATTATATGACTAGAAGCAGTTTACCCTATAATACTCCTTCAATTATATGAGTAAGGTAATTTATGAAGAAGAAAAAAAAGAACTCCACTCAGACCATCGAATTTGACATTATTATAAACAACCTCCTCCTCAAATTCACCATACTTGTCAAACATCCAATCCTACTGAAAAATCTTAAAACTTAAAACAACAGCCTTCCATTAAGTAATAATCTTAAGGTAAAAACTTGATAGGTTACATTGATCATACCTCACATGGTAATTGACAGTATAACTTATTAAAGAACCAAAAAATACTGGAAAAAATAGAAATAAATCGATAGGAAAAGGGAGATGGTTACTGGGGACGGGGAAGAGCCAAGGAGGCCCTCCGCGGTGCGCCGCCGGCCTCCGGTGCCTTCTTCCTCCCGCCAACGGAGAAGCTGCGCCTTCTGGAAGACGCGCTTTGGCCGTCCATTTCCAGATCCAACGGTCAGAAATCGTCGATCGGAGAGAAAGATAGGATTTTTACTTTTTTATTTTTGTTCACGGCTCCTCTTTTATTTCTTCGTTTCTACCATTTGACAGGAACCTTCAGCTTCCTTTCTTTCCTTCTCTGTTAACCCCTAATTATTTTATTACATTTTATTTTGATTTTGCAAAAATATACATTATCTCAATTTTGAGACCAAGCTGGAACCAACCAGATGCTGTTTTAGTCTTCCGTTTCTGGGCTGCGGGGCCCACTCAGCAGGGGTTTGGTTTTTGAGTGGCGTAGGAATGATTGGCTTTGTTTTTTCAAAATTAATTTAATTAATTAATATATATTTTTTGCGGGGGCGCGTTATTTGAAAGCGAAAGGGCAGGTTTGGAAAAGGACATTTATTATTGTGTCCGAAGGGGAAAATTTTAAGAAAGGATAAATTTTTATTTTAGATCTTTTTAGGAATTTATTCTAAAAATCCATCCATTTCATATTTATTTGCAAATTTCGACATAGTTTCAGCGAGGTGGCTGAAAGTAGGTCATAATTTGCGAATAAAGTTAAAAAACTTTACGGGATTTAAAATCCCGTAAAGTTATGTCATTAATTAATTAGCGCTAACCAAAAAGCTTGGCTCAAGCGTTAAACTGATACTAAACTTCACGGAATTTTAAACCCCGTGAAGTTTATATTAAACAAATTTCATAAAATAAGTAGTTATGTGCAATGGGTTAGTGGATTTAACATAAGCTTATAAGACTTGGATGGGAAGCACATGGTTCAAATCCTAGTTTTATAAATTTTTTTAGCTTTCTTTGAGCTAACCACTTGGCCAACTATGGCAACCATGTTATATTTAACTCCCCGGGATTTAAAATCTCGTGGAGTTAGGCTAATTTTAAATTTCACGGGATTTAGAATCCCGTGAAGTTTAATTAAGGACTAAACTTCACGGTAAGCTTCACGGGATTCTAAATCCCGTTAAGTTTTTTAACTTTATTCGTAAATTTTGACCCAGTTTCAGCCAAGTGGCTGAAACTAAGTTGAATTTTACAAATAAATTTGAAAGCGGTCGATTTTTAGAAATAAATTACTAAAATGGTCTAAAACGAAAATTTGTCCTTTAAGAAAACTTGGAATGTCGATGCCCTTTCGTACATTCACATCTGTCTTTTGATCTAAAACGTTATTTCGCATCTGTCTTTTGATCTGGAACATTGATGTCTTGCTACCTGATTATTTAGGCTTAACTGCACTTAAATACCATATAGTTTTCCTTACTTTGCACTAATATACACTCTCTTGTTTTAGGTGGCACTTATATACCGTAAAGATTTTTAAAAGTAGTATATAATCACTTATTTTTTGCAGAATTTATATATCCTAATGTTTTTAAAATGTGCATTTAAATACCATAAAGTTTTTAAAAGTAGTATTTAAATATAAGGTTTTCAAAACTTGCACTTTAATACTCTTAAGTTTGCAAAACTAAGGGTATTTAAGTGCACATTCTTAAAACTTTAGTGTATATAATATTGAGCGTTGCGGAAGCCAAACAACCAAACCAACGTGCTACGAGAATCAAATCAAACGAACGTCGAGAGAAGGCCAAACGAACCAAATCAATGCCACAAACACAAACAACCAATTTTAATGTGGTTCGGCAAGTTGCCTACGTCCACGAGGCAAGAAGAGGATAGTGTTTTTCACTAATAGAGAAGAAGGGTACAAACTGAGATTACAAATCACTCAAACTCACCAACAAATCTCTAATTCTCTCCAAACAAAACCCTAACCAATAGCTTTTTCCTTACTTTGCACTAATATACACTCTCTTGTTTTAGGTGGCACTTATATACCGTAAAGATTTTTAAAAGTAGTATATAATCACTTATTTTTTGCAGAATTTATATATCCTAATGTTTTTAAAATGTGCATTTAAATACCATAAAGTTTTTAAAAGTAGTATTTAAATATAAGGTTTTCAAAACTTGCACTTTAATACTCTTAAGTTTGCAAAACTAAGGGTATTTAAGTGCACATTCTTAAAACTTTAGTGTATATAATATTGAGCGTTGCGGAAGCCAAACAACCAAACCAACGTGCTACGAGAATCAAATCAAACGAACGTCGAGAGAAGGCCAAACGAACCAAATCAATGCCACAAACACAAACAACCAATTTTAATGTGGTTCGGCAAGTTGCCTACGTCCACGAGGCAAGAAGAGGATAGTGTTTTTCACTAATAGAGAAGAAGGGTACAAACTGAGATTACAAATCACTCAAACTCACCAATAAATCTCTAATTCTCTCCAAACAAAATCCTAACCAATAGTTCAGAAAATACCTCTTTTCTGTGCTCCAAATATCCCCAATTTTCTTCTTAACTCTCTCTTCCAATTGTTTCATATATATAAAAATCCTAAAATCATAAACATACTAGGAATTCTTAAAACAAAAAATAAAACAGATTAGGAATTCTAATAACCTGTTACCAAAACAGATTTGGAATCATGTTACCAAAATAAATTAGGAATCCCAATAACATGTTATCAAAACAAATTAGAAAACATATTAGGAACCTGCTATTCAATAATTCTCCACCTCAGTAAAGTTTTCCCAAAACTGAGCCGACACCATTACAAACCAAACGTCTCACTTGTTCCATCCAGTACGAAGTGGAACAAATCCATGACAACAGACTTAATCCATAACAAATCGAGAACCCAAACGAGAATGTGAACAAACTCCAAATATCGGTATCAACTCACCAAACCAGCTACATCATAAATGACTGCCTACGTATCCTCTTGCCCAAAGAATCAAGCATTCACGTAGTTTACCCAAACGGCCTCCAAAGACCCTCAATTAAATAGAAAAGTTTGCAACTCTTCATCAATATCACCAACGGATCTGTAACTGATAGCGCTCCCAATGGCCCCAAACTGAAACAAATCAAACACCTCTACCTGAGGTGAACCAATAGCCCTATCCAAAACATGTCCACCAACTGCACTCGAATCCAAAAACTCTAAGTGAAATGATGTTCTTCTTCAACTGAAGAACGAACCTCACTCCAACCAACTCCCGAATCACTCCGTCAAAGTGAAATGATGTTCTTCTTCAACTGAAGAACGAACCTCACTCCAACCAACTCCCGAATCACTCCGTCACTCATCCTAATCCGAACGGTACCGATACACTCCGTCACTCATCCTAATCCGAACGGTACCGATACCACCAATAGGACATTCATGATCATTACCCATGAACACGACCTCCCCTCTTTCTAACTCCAGAAAGCTGGAGAACCAATCCCTCCTATGACAAATATGGTAAGAAGCACACGAATCCAACATTCATTCTATAGAGTCTGCAACATAAACTGACGGTAGTGCAAATAACGAGTAGTCTGAAGAATCCGAATCTGAATTATTGCCACTAGCCTTGATAACATTCACCTCTGAAGCTTGAATAGCTTTCCCCTTATTCTTCCCGGCTCGATCAACCAACTTTGGGCATTCGTCTTTCCAATGTCCATACTCTTTACAAAAGGCACACTGATTCCTACGAACTCCAAGATGTGCCCCTCTAAACTGCAACCTCCTACTATGATTTGGACTCTTTGCTCTTGCGACCAATGCCCCCGCTACCGACTCAATTGAAGTCTCCTTATCATTCTTTCGAAGTTGATAATTCACAAGTATAGCAATAACCTCACTATAAGAAAGAGATGTCTTCCCATTAATAAGAGTAAGAACGAAGGTCTCATATTCCTCGTCAGGCGAGGAACTCAACAATAACAACGCGTTGTCCTCATCTTCAATCATCACATCTATATTCGCCAAATCCGTAAGAAGCTTCGTGTAGTGGTTCATGTGATCACCAATGGAGGTCCCCTTCTTCAATTGGAAGCGATAAAGCCTTCTCTTCAGATGCAAGCCGTTCTCTACACTCTTGGTTAAATACTTGCCCTCTAGAATCTCCCAAATCTTCTTGACCGAAGTCTTATTGATCACATCATATTTTAAATCTTGAGTCAAACAAGATCTAATCACACCACATACCGTTCTATTCATCCTTTTCCAAACATTCTCCTCAATGTCGTCTGGTTTCCCGTCCAACTCCAAAGTATCTTCCAAATTTTGCGTATTGAGCGCATCTAAGACTTCACATCTCCAAAGACCAAAATTATTTGTGCCATTAAACTTCTCCACATCTATCTTCATAGAGTGGATAATCAAACTTTGGACGATCTTCACGCCGGAAGTACCCTCCACAACTTCTTCTTTCCCGACCATCTTTCTCAAAGCACCAAAACAAATGCGGAACAAATAAAGAATAGATCCAAAACTAAAAAAGATAGAGTCTTTACTAAAAATATCTCACCTTTATCACCAAACGAAGCCCTATGCGAGCCTCCAAAATGACCTACTCCTCCAAATAGCCCAAACATAGTCCGAGCTCTGATACCACTTGTTGAGCGCTGCAGAAGCCAAACAACCAAACCAACGTGCTACGAGAAATCAAATCAAACGAACGTCGTGAGAAGGCTAAACAAACCAAATCAATGCCACAAACACAAACAACCAATTTTAACGTGGTTTGGCAAGTTGCCTACGTCCACGGGGTAAGAAGGGGATATGGTTTTTCACTAATAGAGAAGAAGAGTACAAACTGAGATTACAAATCACTCAAACTTACCAATTAATCTCACCAACAAATCTCTAATTCTCTCCAAACAAAACTCTAACCAATAGCTCAGAAAATACCTCTTTTTTGTGCTCCAAATATCCCTAATTTTCTTCTCAATTCTCTCTTCCAATTGTTCCATATATATAGAAATTCTAAAATCATAAACATACGAGGAATTCTAAAACAAAAAACAAAACAGATTAGGAATCCTAATAACCTATTACCAAAATAGATTTGGAATCATGTTACCAAAACAGATTAGGAATCCCAATAACCTGTTACCAAAACAAATTAGGAAACATATTAGAAACCTGCTATCCAATATATAAGTGCTGTCAAAACAAATGAGGGTATATAAGTGAAAGTTATAAGAATTTTAGGATATATAAGTGTTGTCAAGAACAAGGAATATATTAGTGCAAAGTAGGAGAAACTATTATCCTAAATGTTTGGGATTGCAAACATGAATCATAA